CAACGAGGTTATTAACTTTGCGAAAAAAAACATTAACTGGTACTTATACAATATTATTGATGCATTCATATATTAAAACATTAAAATGAAGAAAAAGTCGAAATTAAATGCCAGAAATGTTTCGAACTCTAAGTGCCGTTTGATCACATTGATTCAATTTTTTAAATAGAAAAGGCTTCAAAAATGACAATTGAATTCTCAATTTTTCAATTAACTCTTGGCTCAACAATCAAATTGCAACGATAGTTGTCTTTCGTTCGAAACACTATGCAGTGTTAATAATGGTTTGTACTTGTCGCCGTTCTATTCTGTACAGCAGATATTTATCCGTCAAATGAACCATCTATGTTCACAGTCGAAGAAAGGAATCAGCCAACTTCACTATTGACCCTCGGATCGAGTTGAAATTTAATCTATACCAATTCTAGTGGTCTGGAATCGAATTCCTGGTTGATGTACTTGGAAAAAATACAATGATTACCGAGTAACGCAGTCTAGTGTACAAGTTATCAAATCCTTATTATCTTAAAACGTAACAATGGCAATTTTATCCATTATTCCGAATTTTAAAGTTGCTTGTCTATTAACAGATTGACATTAATTTGACCCTAGGTTTTACTTTACTCATGAGTAGCATTTATTGTCTCTTTCATTGACTGATCAAACTCCTTCGTACTTACACATTATTTCTGGAATGAATGCAATTTCAGTGCAATTCTAAATTGTTGAAACGAAAAACATTTACTTAAAGTTTCAGAAACTAATACTTTTCAAATTTCTGAAATTTCTCATTATGATTGTAGTGCAATTGACATAAATATGAAAATTATAAAAATTTCGGTAATTTTCATATTTACATCAAGCTGAACATACCTCAATTTATCGGATAATTCATTGAAATGTCTATGCCACATCAATGTCATCGTATCAATGTGCGCCATCTATATTCTAATAATTGACATTTTTTACATCATTTTAAAGGTTATTCTCAATTGTTTTTTTCAGTCAAATAATAAAGAATTTTAAAAATTCTTTTTCTTTAATTTCATATATATGAACATTTATTTATTCATTCTGTTCTGTTTATTTATTTAACTTGTTCAATGAAGTTTTATCAAATAAACAATATGGCGAATAAGCTTACTGTTTAACATATATTCAGTTCAATCAATTGATTGCTCTTTCGGTTATCGTTGAACTATTGGAGTTTTTTTTTTTTGTGAATTTTATCTCATGGAATACGAATCATATCAAATGTCAAGTGCAATGAATGGTTATAGTCATCGAACTCATTCACGTAATGGTGGAATGGATGAGTACATGATGCAAGAACATATCGATTCAATGAATGCTCAATTGAGTTCAACACGTGCTCAACGTATTCGAGCAGCTATTTTTCCTGAAACACTTGAAGATGGTGCTTCAGATGGTTTATCATTACCAATGCCTTCAACACAGTTTGTTAATGGTCAACCAACAGCAGTACAAAAATTATCTGAACCATCTCAATTATTAAAAAATGCTGTTATTGATATTATTAATTATAAAGAAGATGCTGAAATAACTGAAAAAGCTTTACCTGAATTAATTCGTTTACTTAATGATGATGATCCAATTGTTGCTGGACAAGCAGCTTTAGTTTTACATACATTATCAAAGAAAGAAGCTAGTCGACTAGCATTATCTACACCACAAATGATTCAAGCATTAATTCAAGCGATATCAAATCCACGTGCTAATGATGAAACACGTCGCGGTGTTGCAGGTGTTTTACATTGTTTATCTCAACAAAAACAAGGTCTTCTTCTTATGTTCAAAGGAGGTGTTATTCCACTACTTATTCGACTTTTAGAGTAAATTTCTTGATTTGCTTTTTTCGATTCTCGAATAGAATTTTAATAATAATTGTTGTATTATTTTTCATAGTTCGTCAATTGAATCTGTTGTTAATTATGCCTTATCAACATTACATAATTTATTGTTAGTACATTTAGAACAAGCAAAACTAGAAATTCTTCGTTGTGGTGGCTGTCAAAAAATGGTTGGATTATTAAATAGTACAAATCCAAAATTTCTAGCAATACTTACTGATTGTCTTCATATGTTGGCATTTAATAATGAAGAAGTTAAGGTAGATAAACGAATAAATATTTTATTCATAGTTTTATTTAATTTTCTTTCACATTCATTCAGAATATTTTTAACGGTAAGTTTTGCATCATTGATAAAAACAGCTTATTGTTCTTGGTTATGCATTATTTTGAGACTACTTATTTTTTTTTCAAAAAATTTTCTAAACACAGAAAACAAAAATAGAAATTCCACAATATAAATTAAATATAATATTTATTTAGATTATTATTGAATCAAGTAATGGTCCACAACAATTATTACGTATATTAGAATTAACTGATTATGAAAAACTTTTATGGACAACAACACGTCTTCTTCGTGTTTTATCTGTTAGTTCATCAATAAAATTAGTTATGATATCAAAAAATTCAGTTCATATACTTGAAAAACTATTATATGAACCAAGAAGTTTACGTGTACAACAAAATTGTTTACAAATTCTTCGAAATTTATCCGATCAAGCTGTTAAATTAGTTCGTAGAAAAGTTTTTTTTAATTGAATTGAAAATCATATTTTTTGTTTTTCTTAGGAAAATCTTGATTCACTTCTTCAATTACTTATTGAATTATTACAAACAAATGATTTAATAACTGTTTCATGTGCAGTTGGTATTATATCAAATTTAACATGTAATAATCAATATAACAAAATGGCTGTTGTACAATCCAATGGTGTTAATGCGCTTATAAATACAATAATCCAAGGTCATGATAAAGAAGAAATTTTAGAGCCAGCTATATGTGCATTAAGACATATCACGTCTCGACATTCACATGCAAGTGAAGCTCAAGATGCTGTACGACATGTAAATGGTCTTTCACCAATTGTTGATTTACTTAATCCATCATCATATTCATGGCCTATTATTAAATCAACAATTAGTTTAATAAGAAATTTAGCATTATCACCAAATAATCTTTCAGTTTTACGTGAAACAGGTTCAATACAAAAATTAGCACAATTACTTGTTCGAAGTCATCAAGAATTACAAAGACAACAACCAAATGTTGAATTAATTGATAATTATATACGTATGGATGATATACTTGAAGCCTGTGTTAGTGCATTACATATTATTGCTAAAGATCAACAAAATCGAATTATTATACGTGATCTTGATTGTATTCCATTATTTGTTCGAGTAAGAAAATTTTCAACACTTTTTTTTTTTATCGATTAATTTTATTAAAATATGAATAGCTTCTTTATCCACCATCAAGTGTACCAATTCAACGTGCAACTGCAGGAGTTTTATGTGAACTTGTTAACGATCGTTTATGTGCTGATATAATTGAACAACAAAATTGTACACAAAAATTAACTGAACTACTTAAATCAAATGATGAGGGTGTTGGTTAGTTTTTTTTTTGATTTTTTGTTAAATTAAAATTTAAAACATATTTATTTTTCTAGCTACTTATGCTGCAGCAATTTTATTTCGATTATCAGATGATAAACCATATGATATGAAAAATCGTTTATCACAAGATGTTACAACAGCATTGTATCGAGATGAACATTTAATTAATAATGTAAATTAATATTTATTTAAAAAAGAAAAGCAGTTTGTAGTTTTTGATTTTTAGCTTGTAAATGAGTACACATAATTATTGATTACTTTGAAATAATCTGTGATGCAAAAAGGAATTATTGAAATTTTGATTCATAGTTTTCCGTTTAGAATTATCATTTAGAGTGCATTCTTTTTCTTATTGGAAGAGTAAACACAGAACTTGACAAAACACAGAAAACAAATTTTTTTTTGGATTATTTTTGACTGAGATGAAAAANTGTATCGAGATGAACATTTAATTAATAATGTAAATTAATATTTATTTAAAAAAGAAAAGTAGTTTGTAGTTTTTGATTTTTAGCTTGTAAATGAGTACACATAATTATTGATTACTTTGAAATAATCTGTGATGCAAAAAGGAATTATTGAAATCTTGATGCATAGTTTTCCGTTTAGAAATATCATTTAGAGTGCATTCTTTTTCTTATTGGAAGAGTAAACACAGAACTTCACAAAACACAGAAAACAAATTTTTTTTTCGATTATTTTTGACTGAGATGAAAAAAAGTTCGATACTAAATGTCGTCAAAAAATTTCTTACAACTTTAAACGTCTCTGTCTCATCAAATCTATTTTTTTGTCTATAATAGACTACGTTAGAAATTATATAATTATTGAAACTAGAAATGTCTTCCCACTCTTTGAAATATTGTATGATAAAGTATCTCTTACAGTCTGCTCCAATACTATTCATCTCGTAACTACATTATTTGTTTATTTTTATTTCATATTCTGTCTGACAAAGGTAAATGATGTGCTAAAATCTGGTTTTTGTCCCAAGTTATGGCAAAGCTGTAAAACATTAGCAGAAAATGTTAAGAAGTCTAATAGAAAGTCGAATATTTTCCGGAAGAAGTCTGCATCCTCCTCCCCAATTGAAAAGTTTTATTTAAATGCTTAGAAATTATTCACATTATCATTTGGAAGATGTTCATTAATGAATATTCGTGTAGATTAATAACCTAATGTTATATCTTCTATATAGACATCTCCCAATACCAATACAGTATTAGGGTATTCATATTGAATGGTATTGATATTATGAAAAATCTACTTCAATATAATGATAGTGACAGATCTCTAATAGTTTTCGTTCTCGAATAATCTTTAGTATCGTTAGATTCATTCTTTTTCAAA